ATGGGAAGGGATGGGAAGAGGAAACAAAGGAGGAGGCTACAATGCTTGATAAGAAATGTACTCATTATCTTACCTATGTAATTGAAACCCTTTTGTACAGTATTTTCACAAGAAAATAAAATAAAATAAATACTTCTCATTGGTTTTTTAGTCTAGTTTATAAGGCCTTCTATCAAAATGGTCTGCTGTTAAGAGTATATAAGAGTAAACATTTTCATTGAAAATAACCCAGTCTTTAGGGGCTGTCTACTATTCTTCACTGCAATCCAAAGCATCTCTTAATCAAGGCCTAATGTCTTATCAAAATCAAGGAGAGAGCTGTGTGAAGTCTCAGCTAGAAAAGAATAGAGCTTGATTACTTGATAGTATTTTAGGAAACAAAGTAATGCATTAAGCTAGTAAGCTGGTTTCCAAAGAAATAATACTTTTTATGAAATCCAAGCCACAAAAGTATATCTGCTTCTATGGAAATATTATTGATGATGGCAATAAACATGTGGGCTTTTCAGTTTCATGCATCAAACTAAACCACTGGAGTCAATTAAGATACATATTTACATGTTTGAAGTTGAAAGCAACCTTCAGTCAAGTTTTACATTCTGAAGTACTTCTTCTGACTTTCTCTTATCTGATGAGAGAAATGATTTTGATGGACCCTTTTGAAATTTTGATCATCTATATGATATTCATCACATCCAAAACAAAAGAAGTAGAGATCCAAAGAAGCTAAGTCTTTTTAGGGTTCTATTCCACACATTAAATGTATGAAGATATAAAATGGAGGTATTACAACAATCTGCAAAATGAGGAACACCATGGTCATGAGTATCCCATTGAGGACATTTGCTTTGGAAAACTTCAGAGCTTCAAAGAACACCCACTGGGGCTGAGAAGGTGGTTCAGTGGTAGAGCATGCATGTCTTGCATGCATAAGGCCCTGGATTCGATTCTTCAGCACCACATAAGCAGAAAAGGTCAAAAGTGGCACTGTGGTAGAGCGCCAATCTTGAGCTGAAGAGCTGAAGGACAGTGCCCATGCCCAGAGTTCAAGTCCCTGAAGAGCATAAAAGAAGAAAAAAGAAAGGAAAGATGGAAAGAAGGAGGGAGGGAGGGAGAAAGGAAGGAAGGAAGGAAGGAAGGAAGAAAGAAAGAAAGAGAAAGAAAGGGAGAAAGAAAGAGAGAGAGAAAGAGAAAGAAAGACAGACAAAATGAACAATTTGAATACAGACAGGAGCCGGAGCGGCCAGAGCCTGAGCCACCCCGAGCTGAAGCCCGTGCTAGGTAGCCACAACTCCTTTAAGGAGCTGCTCTGTGGCAACTGGACTATTATAATATATATAATATTTTAACCAGAGCCTGCAATCTGAGTAGGGACAGCGGGTTGTACTGGAACTCAAGGGTAGTATCTAAGTGCCATTCTTTGGTGGTGGTGATTTTTTGGCCTCTATATTTTCCTATTTGATGAAGAAACTATAGTTGATCCACTTTGGGGTAATCCAAAACTTGTGATTGTGAATATTGTTACTACCTCAGGCTACCTCACTTCTGATTTGTTATCATTTTCAATTGGAAAGTGATTGGTGACATTCTTTTTGCAATTCATCATTGTACAGCACTGAGTGCATACTACATAGTAATGATCCAAGGAATACTAGTGTTAATTGACAATTTTTGCCTACTTGAAATTCTCAGCCCTTTCATGTGCATGGCCGTCTGCCCTTGTCAATAGAACTGTATTGATGGGTAGGGACGTTTTCTACCAGTTGGATATCAAAAATCCTTTCTGGGCTGGGCCTCCATTTCCACTGAATCCTAGAAAGTCTCTGAATGAGGTGTTGTTATTGCTCTGCTTTACATATGGGAAGACAGGTTCAGGGGTGCCTCTCTTATTCTGAGCTAGGTATCTGGACAGAAGAATTGAGAAAAGGGAAAAGGAAGACACACTCTCTGACCACCAAGCTCCGCCTTCACCCACTGGCTCACTGATCTATCACAGGAACAGAGGGTTGGCCACAGAGGCCGTAATCTCATTCCTTTTGGTTAGGGCCTTGGGTGGCATGATATCTAGAAGCACTCTGATCGGCAGAAGCAGGCCAGTGAGAAGGCTGTGCAGTATCTATAAAGGCATGAAAGTCTCACATCTTTTGATGCTGCACTTGGCTAATGGTTTCCATGGACAACATCTGGGAACACAACGCTCAATTTGGAATAACCAGGCTGATGGTTGTATCACAAGCTGGGCCACTGGTGTCTTAAACTCTTGTTGTAAGGTGTCTGCTTGAGGACATGGTTTTGGTGCTGAGCATGGGGAGCACTCCGTTGTCTATTGGTTCTGCTGTGGAGACTCCATGGCGCCTGGTCTTGCCCCATCCCAGGAGCCTTCACCTAGATATGGAGGCCTCACAGGGCCCCAAAGTTACAAACTCAATTCAGAGCCCAAATTAGGAATGATAGAGCTGACAGGAGTGGTTTGGGGGGCGGGAAGACAGTAGAGAAGAACCTTGCTCCTCAGAATAGGAAGACCAGGCTATGTATTCAGTGGTCAGTTTGAATATTGAAGCTACATTCAAGCATCAACCCACCAATCTAATGGCTGGAGGTGAGCTCAGAACCCCGATGCACAAAAGGCATGTTGACAACCCTTACACCACTTGGGCAGAAACAGCCACTGGTCTCAGGGGGAGAGGTGCGTGAGTCCCCAGCTGAGGCGGGCTGACCCCCAGAGGTAGCATCACAATGATTCCCTGTGAGAGAGGTTTGTTTGTCCCCAGAAAGACAGCTATAGGGGAATAGCCATAGGGGAATACACCAGGACCCTTCCACCCCTCTGCAACTAAGAAGGCCACAACCACTCAGGGTTACTGAGAGGCCACGCAGAAGGCAGAATAGTGGAAACCAAATCTATAGACCTAAGAAAACAAAGATACAGTAGCAAACTCTGATGTCCAGATTAATGAAAATTTCCATCCAATGCTTTGCAGTCTGCTCCCTCTATTCTCCAGGGACTAAGGACAATTATGGAAAACCATGCCATTTGAGAGCTGGAATAAATTATTCTATGGGCCTACCCAGGAGCTGCTGTATCTGATGGTGGTCTGCCCAGGGTCGGTCCTACAAAGAAGGTGGCTTGGAAGAAGCAACCCCCAGAAAGTGTCTCAAGAAGAATCTTTCCTACTTGGGGGCAGATGATCAAGGCACCTCCCATGGAAGCATCCACCATATCACCAATCTCAGGTGCTCCTATGGTTGCAAGTTATAAGACACCCTCCACTCTGCATCCTGGACCAAATCAGTCCATGCAAGGCAACACTTCAGTGAGATATAGGGCTTGGAGAAGAAGGGAGACTCGGCCCATGGTCAGAGAAAAATCCTGTCCCGAAGGCCCAAGTGAGTAAACCTTCCCCTTCTTCTTTCACCAAGCACTTCCTTCTACCAGTACACACATCTTTATCTATTTCCCAATTGCCTTTTGAGTAAGGTGGTCACTGGAAGCCCACAATCATTAGGAGGCTAAGTCCAGGGTCCTTGTCAACATGGGTGGACATAATGAGAGCACTTTGCAGTCATAGTTTGCCAGGCTCAATGCATTTTCTGCCCTTTCAGACAGTCTGGGATGGAAGGGAAGCCGGCTACAGATTTCAGTTTGGAGACTGGTGGTTTAGCTTCAGTGTCTCATCAGTCTCCCAATTCATCCCTCTCAACTCTTCTGCAAGCCTGCCTGGCACAAGATCTGGGGTTTAGGGTACCCTGCATTTCTCCTTGGTCAGCTCTGAATCCTGGCCTGAAGCTGACAGAGGCAGAAAGTGATAATTAAATGACCTTCTCACAATGGATGGAACTGCATACAGACCATCATATTAAGTGTCTAAGCTAGACTCAGACAAATATGACATGATTCCTCTGATGTGCAAAACTAGCTATGAAGTAAGTAAATGGACATGACCACAAATGTGGAAGCATTTGAGGGAACTTGAAGGTGGGAAGGGAAGAATTAAGGGCAGGAGTATGGGGAGAATGTGAATGAACAGGTCATACCGAAAACCATTTAATGAATTACAAGATATTTTTAAAGGAGGGGAAGGAATAAAACAGTTGTGAGGAAGTGAATATGATTGAAGTATATTATATGAATGTATGGAAATATTACAATTAAACGCCCATGTCTATTAAACAACAGGGAATGAAAAGATGAACAAAATGAATTGTTTAAATAGGGAAAATAACCAAGCATCCCATTTCCCTGTTTTCCCTTCTTCACCCCAAATTCAAAAAGAAAAATTCTGTTTGCATCCAAATTACAGGCCAGGTCCACTTTACCTGTTCATGCGTAGAGGAGAATTCTGCAGTGGTGACCGCTGTACCAGAGTTCCACATGTTCCAATGTATTTTCAGCCCTTCCCCTCCAGAGTCAGGGGTACATCACACTCACAGACCCTGCAACTTTTGATGAAGTGTTGAGGGTATGATATCAATGAAAATGACTGATGGGATTTGGAGGAGAATGGGAACTCAAAATTCTGTTTCGAACAATCAGCCTACACATGCAGTAAAGACGGGGTGTGGGCAGCCCTGTCACATTTGGAGAGAGGGACAGGGATTCAAACTTCTGTTTAGGACAATCTACCTACACAGGCAGTGCTTTCAGAGGACACAGGCTGTGGGTAGGGCTAATCTTGGGCAGCCATATTGTCTTGCAGGTGAGTATTGTGCAGAAGGATGATTAGTAACAGCACCTAAACTTCAACCTAGGAGTAGACTTTCCGTGTAACAGATTCTTTGCTAGTGTCCAACTCAGAGCTATACTCCTAGGGGAACACAGTGGAGCTGGAGTAATATTTGAAGACAAGAACAAGGCGTATCTTCACAACAGTGGGGTTACTGGGCAGAGCAGGTGCAAGTTTCTGTCAGCAGAGGGAGATGCTGCCTCATTTGAGAGACTGTCACATCGTTCTCACCTCACAGGGAAACCAGAAAACTGGATTTTTGGCATTCTTTTTCAGGTGCCCAGATACCACCTAACAGCCATTTGGAGGACGTGGTTGTGCCGGGGTAATGCTTTTTCTAGCCCCTAAGAGTATTGGCCCCAGCTAGATATTGTGCTCTGTCCAGGTTAAACTGATATACATGCACCCTACCATCACAAACTCCATGAAGAGAGAAAACCTCCTCTCCAACAAGGATTACTGTAAATCAGTCACAGCACTGTGGGATATGAAGGGAGGCAGGTTAAGGCCTCAGGCCTGATATGAGGGTGAAGGGAGGAGTACATTAATCAGCTTAGTAGCAATCATTTCTCTTTCTGTCTGCTGGGTCAAGTGTGTGATGATACATACTCATATACAGAAGATCAAGGAACAACTGGGTACGAAAGACTGCAGGGCAAAGGCAGTTTGGGGAGTGGACACTGGGGTAGGGCTGTCTGCTGGTATAGGGCATTACATGTAGCATCCCCCTAGAAAGAGAAGCCAAGCAGGCTTTGCCTTGAGGCTTTGTTATATTGACAAATGAGGCATGCTCAAATTGCAGTGCATTGTCTAAACATGGCATGAGCTCTGCCAACCAGAACCAGATATCTCATCTCTTTCTCTGAGGAATATATGTATATATATATATATATTCATATTTATTTTCCCTATACATATTTGTTGGTGTGGAATTATCTGTATTTATTCTTTCAGGTTTGTTTTAGAGTGTCTGCCTGCTTGCTTCCTTGTTTTAACAAATCTGGATGATTTCCTTATGTCCCATCCTAGACAAATGCTAGTTTAGGTTGTTTTGATGTAGAAGATATTTTTACACTCAGCCGTGGTGATGGGTGGATGATAGGTCTTAGAGCTGTTTAAGACTGGCTAGACAGGAGGGAAATTGCAAGGTTGTAGGTTCTCAAGGAGGGAGACAGTGGAGGAGCAGAAGTGATTCTTGCATCCCTGTCTGAAGTACCCACTTATGCTTCTCTGTTTCAGATTCTATTCAGTCCCTCACTGAAAAGTTCCAGTCCTTTCGATGTGTTTACTTCACATTACACCTTCTCACAATTCAGACTATTCAAGACGACCTCTGTTTTGCTCTGACTCTACTCTGCTTGTCAGGCTGAACCCAGCATCTTCATGTAAGACAAGCAGTCAGTACCTGTGGAGCCCAGGAGTTGAGGCCCACCTACTTCTTTACAGTTTTCTCCAGCCAATTCTTTTTTTGGGGGGGCCTGAACTCTGGGCCTGGGTGCTGTCCCTCAGCTCTTCAGCTCAAGGTTAGTGCTCTACCACTTGAGCCACAGCACCACTTCCAGCTTTTTTTTTGCTTATGTGGTGCTCTACCACTGAGCCACCTTCCCAGCCCCAGCCAATTCTTCTTCTCAACAACTTTGTTTCCCCCACCCACCTAAGTTGACAGCATTTTCAAAATAAAGTGCATCTTATGATCTGTGCACTCTCTCTCTCTCTGGGAGTGGTAGTCATGTTAACAAGAGAAGGGTGGAGGGCTGCTACATCTCATGGCAGTGAAAGGACAGTACCACTGGCTTTGTAAGGTAAGCCTTTTTCCAAAATGGAGTCTGTGCCCACCTCTGAGCAGGTTCACTTCACTCAGGCTTACTGTGGTTTATGCAATCTGGGTTCTGGATGGATTTGGCTTGATCACACTAACTTGTTGCCCTCTCCTAGCACCCTTCTTTCCAGAGCTGTAGTCCCTCCTGCCTTTCCTTGATTTTGCCTTCCTACTTATCCTCCTCTCACCCTTCTTTTTTTGTGACAGTCCTGGGGCTTGAACTCAGGGCATGGATGTTGTCCCTGAACTTTTGAACCCAGGGCTAGCACTCTACCCCTTGAGTCATAGTCTCACTTCCAGATTTTTGTTGGTTAATTGGAGATATGATTCTCATAGACTTTCCTACCAGAGCTGGCTTTGAACCACGATCCCCAGACCTCAACCTCTTGAGTCACTACAATTACAGAGGTGAGATAGTAGCATGTGGCTTGCTGTCGCTCTTCGTTCCTGTTCTGAGCAACCTTGATCTCTCCAATAGCTCCCCACTAGTGGTCTCTCTCCTAGAATAGTTTCAGCAGCTGTTACAAGTTCCTGTTATTCTCTACTTCCCTCTTATTTGGGCTCATTCATCCCTTTGGACTTATTATCTATCTCTAATGCCATCATATGAAGAGACTATACTCAGCTAGATATTGGTGCTAACCATAACCCAAGGCAGTGCGATGGGATACTGGGCAAAAGAAAATTAGAAAATACAGAGACAGGTGTAGAGAAAAAGAAGAAATTTAGCAGGGACCATGGATTCTATGGTTCACTGGAACTTGGGCCCCGAGTTCCTACAAGCAAGCATATTTTTTTGAGTTCACACAGGAAAGTTACCATGGATATATGCAAAATAAAGCATCTATACTAATATCACAATCAGAGCTAAAACAGAGTTTGTAAGAAACAATAGTTCCCTTGTTTTGAGACAGGAGACAGCAACTCAGGGAAATTCCAAATGTGTAGTCCACCTTATCTAGCCTCCAAGGTTAAGCTGTCAGCCCTTTTGCCCAGTCTTCGATGTCCAGCTGCCAGCCTTTCCAGCGCTAAGGAAAAGGGTGGTGTTCCAGTTCCTTAACCCTCTCCAGAGCTCTCTGTTTTAATGCTTCCATTTCTAGTTCTCAGCGATCTGGGTACTGTCAAGATGGGGTACCAACCTCTCAAAACTTTTCCAGGTTTACAGCTCACCTTCAGGGTTCCCTACAAGATACTGTGTAGTTTTTTCAGTTTCTTCTTAGCCTTCTTCTTGGAAAGAAATTCAGTTTCCATACCTGATAATTTCTACTTCCATATAAGTAGAAATCTTGATCACATCCCATTGGATGGTAAAGCAAAGGTAATATTTTGGGGTAGGGGGAAATGAGGATAGTGGGAACAGACAAAAGTAGAGGTTTGTCTCTGTGTTGAAGGCAAAGACATACATCTGTCTTATTGCCACTGGGCTATGCCCTCCAGCATCCAGAATAGACAGTCAGGGAATAGAACTGCCACATCCTCCAAGTCATGACCCTAAGTTGAAAAGTGTCAGTCAATTTCTCATGAAACATCCTTATGTATATGAGTGATCTTGGAATGGTATAATTCCATACTCCTATGACATATATTTTCAGGTACCTCATGCTTTTGTGTCTCTTCTGTGGTGTTACCTCTATCATTAGACAGTTGAGAGGATGGTTTTGTCAGCCCTGGTTCAATATATTGTAGGCCTGAGAATCAGGGCCAAATTCATATTTAAGTGAAGTAAGTTGACTGAAATAGGAAAAATCGGAGGTCTGCCAGTTTCTATTCCCACAAAACTCTGTGCTTACAGTGTTACAGGGGACAAACAGAGATAGAACATTCCAGATATGTTCATCTTCCTTACATCAGAGGGCATTTTTCTAGTCCTAAAACTGGAGGGCCTACGGTTAAGATGAAGTAGAAGTCATCAATCCTAGTGACAAGTAGAGGTCTCTTCAAGTGCTGGTATCGTTGGCATAGTCAGGTGAATAAGATGTCTCAAATCCTATGCTGTGGAATCTTCAGCTCCCATTCCCTGCATAAGGAACAGGAATTCTCTCTCTCTCTCTCAATCTCTCTCTCTCTCTCTCTCTCTCTCTCTCCTCTTTCTCAAAAAAATCTCTTGTGTGGGCTGGGAAGGTGGCTCAGTGGTAGAGCGCTTGCCTTGCATGCTCGAGGCCCTGGGTTCGATTCCCCAGCACCACATAAGCAAAAAAAGAAAAAAGCCGGAAGTGGTGCTGTGGCTCAAGTGGTAGAGCACTAGCCTTGAGCTGAAGAGCTGAGGGACAGCGCCCAGGCCCAGAGGTCAGGCCCCACGACTGGACCCCCCCAAAAAAAATCTCTTGTGGATGAAATGATGATGTGCAGGTTGGCTTCCTCAGAGTAGCTGTTTTCCCCTTCCTCTTTAAAGCAGTAGCTCCTATGTGAGCTAGCCATATCTTGAGCTAAAGGAGAACTATGCAAGGTAGGCCCATGGAGCATGGGTCATGGTTGCTGCCACATGGCCCCATATGCTCTTGTCCCTTCTGGTCTCCACAGGTTTAGCTTGTAGAGTCAGACTGTAGTACACGAAGTAGGACAATCACCATCCCAGAGCAACAATGGATCAGAGGGAGCACTTAAACCAACTACTACAAACCCTACATGGGTTTGGGAAGATGGGCTTGATTACTTAGGCTATGGTTGTTAGCCTTTTTATCTCCATCTTGTTACCCAGTCTGCCACCTTAGACCTTCAGCAAAAACAAAACTGCCTTTCCCTGAAAGGTGACATAGGCTTTTACCTGAAAACAGGTGACACAGGTAACTGCAATCTCAAATGGCAGCTGCTCCCCAAAATGCAATTTCCCTCACTCGTGTTCTGCAGTTACAACTGTAAATGTTAGCCCATTCCACAAGGCAGTTTCCCACTTTCATGTTCCACTTGAACCCAACCCTGAAAACTGTTTATAGCTCTGCCTAGCTTCTACTCTCTGCCTGTGAGGTAGCCTGTCGGGTTACTGACATTAAAACTCCTTTTCCTTTGTTTGTGACCATGTGTCCAAGTGATTTTCTTGAGGAAGGCTTTCCATGATTCTGACCCTATCCCTTTTATCAGAAATGTAACACAAATGACTAACTGAAGATGTCTCATACACACTCTCCCATTAGTTTCTGTTACCAGAAATGTCTAGGCCAGTTACAAATAGACTAAGTCTCAGGACTCACAGCTGCCCTGGGAGGCACTGAGCAATTGTCAACTGTGGAGAAGCCTGTTGAGGAAACCAGGTCAGGATATGCACAGCCTTTGGTGACTATCTTTGTCAGCCCTGTTCCTCCTTCTGAACGCACAGTCTCTGCTACATATTCAGACTTCTCCTACAGGATGGTGTTACTATAAGGTGCACAATATAATACTGGAAGGAATTGAGTCTCTGTCTCTATAGTAATAAACACCAGAAGCTCATTATCTGACCAGAGGTTCAGGTCGGTTAATTCTATCTGGGCTCCATTGGAAGGAAGTAGGTAGGACCCCTCTACTTTTTCCCTCAGTCAGCAGAAATGGGACTGGAGAGCTCCATGTCCTGCTGTAACTTGTACTACTCATCTCAAATTGAGTTCAGAATGAGATTGTCTGGCCCACAAGCCTACCCTTTTTATAGGGGTACTATAGAATCCCAAACAAAGTCCCATATGACAAGATATCAGGGCTCCCTGCACTTCATTCCCAACATAACCACTTACTTTTTATCAGAAACGGTATAATCCTGAATAATCTTGGTCTTCTCAGGCTATGGGGAGGCCAAGCATAGTGTTGGCTTCCCTTTGAGGACTGTGAGATGCCACCTCCTATAGGAGATTGTCCTGGTAAGTCACAATCACAGATTCTAGTCTTTACTGTTACAAACTTCTGCTTAACCTAGGGCAACTTCAGGCTTATTTATCTTCAACCTCCAAAAATTTCTTCCACCGTCCACCACGCCACATTATCCATTTCCTCTAAGAGAAAAGTGGATGCTCCTGTTTGGGAGGGTTTGTTCAGGTATGTTGTAACCACCAGCATAGATAATACAGACAATCCCTGTGGCTTCTGTATTTCTTCATCACCCATTTCCTATAAGAACAAAACAAACACTCCTGTTTTGAGGGACTTGTTATGTTGTGGCCTTCAATGTATCCACAGAGATTATCCATGTGGAAGAACAATGGCTGGGCACAGCGGCATATACATTTCATTCCCAGGAAGAAGTGAAACACACACAGGAGGATTGCCAGTCATGCCTGATTTTTCATAAAGCTAGACACTCTTTCAAAAATAACCAATGCAGGTCATTCTTACTGAAGAGATGAGTTGATTTACCCTATGGAAAACTTATTTCAGCTGGGCACTGGTGGTTCATATCTATAAACTTAGCTACTCAGGAAGCAGTTTGGGCAGGAAAGTCTGTAAGACTCTTTTCTCTGATTAACCACCACAAAGCCAAAAGTGGAGCTGTGGATCAAGTGGTAGAGCACTAGCCTCAAGTACAAAATCTCAGAGACAGTGCCTACACCCTGAGTTCAAGCCCCAATACTGCTATGTGCATGTGCACATGTGCGCGAGCACACACACACACGTGTACATATGTGTATGCACATGCACATGCACACAAAGAAGAATAGTTTTTCCTAATAAACTTTCAGTTAAAAAATCTGTATTGGAATTGGTACCTATGACCTCCACATAAGACACAAGGTATCTGTATGTTCCAGAAATACCATAGCCTTTCTTTGAGAGAATAAGGGTCATCATGTCCAAGGTCTTCTGGTGAGTTTTGTGAGAACAGTAAAAGGGATGGGTATTGAGGAGAAAAACATCCAAATAAGGGGGTTCTGCTTTGCTTCTAAAACAATCCTGCCTTACCAAGCAATGCTCTCTCAGGAAAAAGATGTGGGCCGGCTGCTCTCAGTCAGCCACATTGTCCTGCAAGGAGGTTTAGGCAGTGAGGGTGATTAGTAACTTCCCAAACTCTAATTCAAACATAGGCTTTCAATCCAATAGTCATATTTTTTGTATATGCCTGTAATGGAGCTTGAACTCAGGGCCTGAGCACTGTTCCTTAGCCTTTCCACTCAAGGTTTATGCTCTTCCAATTGATCCAGAGCTCTGTTTCTGGCTTTTGGTAGTTAACTGGAGATAAGAGTCTTTCTGCCTGGTCTGGCTTCAAACCATCATCTCAGCCTCCTGATTAGCTAGGATAATAATCATGAGCCACCGGTACCCCACAACAGAATCTTTCCCAGCATTGGACCCAGAGCCACAGTCCTAAACGGATACAGTGGTAGCTGTAGTGACATTTGGGAATCCAGATAGACAGATCTAGAGAAGGGAGAAGCTGCTGGGCTAAGCAGGTACAAGTTTATGCCATCAGAGGGAGATAGTACCTCACCTGAGAGTCCATAGATCATTCCCACCTCAAATGGAAGCCAGAAAGCTGGCTTTTGGTGTTCTTTCAGGTGACCAAGAGGTACATGTACATTTTCCTGGTCTAGAAATTCTTCAAGAATCGTTTCAAGAACAGGGTCATTTCCAGGTAATGTCTCCTTTGGCTCCTAGAAATGCTGACTCCAGCTCGATGGTAGGTTCTATGTCTAAGTTAAAGTGACAAATGTAAAATTTTCAATTATACAACCCATGGACAAAAGGACACCCCCTTTCCATTAAGGATTGTGTGAAAATTGTGACACAGGGTTGTACTACACGGGATGTGTAAGGCATTACAGCAGGTTGGAGGGTGATCAGAGAGGACAGAACATTAATCATTTCATGTCTGGTGTCTGCTAGGTTAATGTCTAGTCTTACAAAAAGATTTAGAGACGTTCAAAGAAAAACTAGGTATGATGGTTGAGGGGCAAAGGCAGAGTCTGCCGCAGAAAGAAAGTTGAGGGTCTGGGAGCAGGAACCTTGGACAAGGATCACTGTAGGTACAGGCAGTATTACAGGAATGAAAATTCCCCCGAAAGGAGAAAGCAAGCAGACCTGACCTGGAATCTAGTGTGTGTGTTGACTGCTGGCTTGTCCAAAGGACAATGAATTGTCAAAATTCAGTGTGTGCTCTATGTCAACCAATCCTAAAGATCTCCTTCTCTCAGGCCCTTTAGAGATACTTCCTTTATTTTCCACATTAGAGTTAGTTGGGCTGGCTTGTCTTATATTTGTTGTCCCTTACTTGTTTGTTTGATTTGGTGCTGGGGCTTGGACTCAGGGCCTGAGTACTGTTTCTTAGATTTCCATGAAGGCTGGTTCCCTACTATTTAGGCCACAGCTCTACTCCCAGCTTTTTTGTGGTTAATTGGAGATAAGAGTCTTATGGACTTTTCTGCATGTGTTAGCTTCAAACCACAATCCTCTGATCTCAGCCTCCAGAGTAGGTAGGATTACAGGGGTGTATTTAAGAAGTCTCAGATTTACACTGGCTTGTGCCTTTGCCCACTTCTGGTCATTGTCATTGTTGCTGCTGAGGCTGCTGACCTAGGCCTGAGGCGGAGAGGGAAGCAGGATGTAGGCAGGAGTGAGAGGAGGTAGTCTAGGAGTTAGAACAAACCCTTCCTCAATGCCTGGGGAGATAGACCCATTGGAGCCACCGCTGCTACTGCCTTTGTGGCTACTGCTGCTGCTTTTCCACCTACCCGCCCACAGGACAAAGCTGAAAACTGGTACTAGGCCAGGTCCTTGTCCCCTGGTAGCAGCCACCAGCCTAGCCTAAGCTTTGTAACCCATCTGTATGGTATTTTCACAATAAATATGTATATATATACACACACACACACACACACACACACACACACATATATATATATATATATATATATATATATATATATTTTGGGTCCGGTCGTGGGCATTAACTCTGGGCCTGGGTGCTGTCCCTCAGCTCTTCAGCTCAAGGCTAGCGCTCTACCACTTGAGCACAGCACCACTCCCGGTTTTTTTCTTTTTGCTTATGTGGTGCTGAGGAATCGAACCCAGGGCCTCATGCATGCAAGGCAAGCGCTCTACCACTGAGCCACCTTCCCAGCCCCTATATAAATATTTTTTAAAAGTATACTATATTTCAAATAAAAAAAAAAGCTGCACCATTTCCACTTGTACCATGTCCGTCAGCAACTTGGCACTGCTACCTCATGACTATTGTACCATGCCCAGGGGGAACAGGATGCTATTCTCCACCATGCTGGGAGGAATAATTATGATCACAAGTTCCTGTTATACTGTTGCAATTCTCCCATAGCTTAGTCTCCACTATGTCATTGCCTGATATTCCTGGAGTCATCAGCACTGACACTTTAATCAAAGACCCCAAAGTAGAAGGAAACAATTTGAAAAATTTTAACAATCATGACAGGAAATGTGCAGTTGGGGATGATGCTCTGTTTGAAATGGGCATCTGATGTTCCCGCAAGGAATAGAAGAAAAGCAGTAATGCAGATACCTGTGTAAACGTGATTTGGCCATTTGCAGCAATAGTTGAAAAAAGATGCAGTCCCAGCAGTCCCAGTGCAGCCTCACCTCCTCCTCTCCATTTGGGTGCCAAAAGATGGGGGATAAGGTTCATTTCTCCTCCTTGTTTGCTGCCCTTTGCCCAATTACACAGATTACTTTGAAAGCCCTTGAGGTTATTTCTATAAAACTAACAGTTAAACTGTGGCTTCCTGTTCATCTTATATTGAGAATTCCCTTTTTGCTCTCAGGTTTATCCCGAATCTACTACCAATCTGTCTATGGTGTCTGGAGAAGAGATAAGTCTCCTCTCTACTAGCCCACTGGTGATTGATAAGGTGATGGGGAAATGATTTTTTTAAGACAGAGCTGCTCCCCATTTAACCTTTCTGTTTGTCCTTAGAGACAACTCCTGTAGCATTACCATGTGACATTGTTTTGATATCTGCTTCCCTTCTTTCCTTGGGGATGAATGCACTCTATCTTTGGTTCATCTTCCCATTCCTTCCCCCCTCCTTTTCTTACCACATTTGTGCAAATATGTTTAAACTCTTCAACAGAAGAAAACCCAGTGATTTGCTCTTCTGTTGTGCTTTCCTGTGTGCGTCTTGTTGCTGGCAGATTTTTCTTGTACTACGAAGTCCAAATGATTTTGTTTGCTCCTAGAGTAGGTTCATATGAAATAATAGAAGGACTTGAAATTCCACTTGGTAGACAAGGCCTGATGGTGGTATTCTGCCAGCTAATAACTGAGAATGACTTTCAAATAATGTTGAACCATTTCAGTACCCCATCTCAGCTGTCACTGTATTAAAATCAGATGAACATTGTAAAAAAAAAATCCACGACATGGAAGTCTTGGTTTTGTGTCATACAGCACCCTTGAGAACTACTGGTTCAAATTCTTTGGTGTAGGACATATTTTGACATTGTTATGATGGGTGAGGGGAGATAAGTCCTAATGAACCTGGGTTTTTAGACTGAAAGTTTGAAATTTCTTCAATCTTGAGAGAAGGGGACAAACAGCTGAAATATATGTCAAAACTATTTGTGTTAAGCCTAGTACTAGAAACACCATTATAAGGCAAGATACAAGAGGAAATAAAAGTCAGGGGAAATACAATTGAATAAATAACTCCATGAACTACTAAAAACATGTTTGGAGCCATCAGAAATAGTCATTCTTGACTCCCTTTAAATAGAAAGCCTTGGACAAAAATATTAATTTTCCATAGAGAGACTTTAAAGATAGTATGATTTTTATACATGTATGTATAAAAACACCTCAGCTGGAACAGGTGACTCCCTTTGGATCTCGGCAATTTCTCTTGTGTGAACAGTCTTTTTTTCCAAATGGATTCTGAACTGCCTTTCTTTTGAAGATTTGCTGATAAAGCACTCTGTACTTTCTCAAAGTCTCTTCTCACTGTGATTAACTTTTCCCAAATGATCTGATCTTGGAAAGAAAGGCCAGGTGAGAGTTAGTCCTTTTGGCCAATTGATATAGTCCTTTTAGTCAAATTGAAGCCAACAGAGAGACTACAAGGAGTGGCTCTTAGATACGTTCCCCTGACAATTTATTAACTCTAATATTGTCCTCCTTGTCCTCCTGTAGAGTTTTAAAGTTTACAAGAAAAAGCAAACCAAAACAGAGGCAACAAAAGGAAATACATAAAAGCAAATTCAATAAATAAGTCCTTGCTAAAGTTATTTTTTCATGGGATAGAGTGCAAATGCTCCAGAGAAGGACCCAAACTGTAATGGCAAGATACTTAAAAAGTCACAAAACAAAACACTGTAGCATTGACAGGATAGCATAATTTTTATTATATATAACAGTTTAGGATAAAAATGATTGACATAATTTGATTAGTATCATTAAACTCTCCTTCCTACAATTACGAATGCACACATATAAGCCTGTGAAAGTTAGCATCCCAACTCCAGGTACCATGGCTGATGCCCATAAACTTAGCCATTCAGGAGGTGAGATCTGAGGATCATGGTGTGAAACCAGCTTGGTCAGGGAAGTATGTAATATTCTTATCTCCAATTAACCACCAAAAAGCCAGAAGTAGAGCTGTGGCTCAAGTGGTAGAGCACTAGCCTTGAGGAAAAAAACTCAAGGACAATACTCAGGCCCTGAGTTCCAGCCCCAGAAACCCCCCCCCCACACACACACACTAGTATCACTGACAATCTTAAATTAGAAGACACCTGTTTGGTAAAGTTTTGTCTTAGGCTTTGCATTTTAGAAGACATATACCTAGGGAACATGAGTACATTTACAATACAAAGGAGCTAGTAAGAATCACCATTCCAGTCACACAGATGTCTGTGTGTGTGTGTCTCTCTCTCATACACACAAACATACACACACATTTAGTCTGCATCATTTTCACAATAACTTCAAGTCTCTCACAATTAAATGGAGGTACAGTTACAATAACATTCATTTAGCTAAGACAAATAGATATGTATATATACATACATATATGTATATATGTGTGAGCATATATATATATATATATATATAGCCAATTTTCAAATAGCAGGTTTGATTAAATGGCAGAGGGTTTTTTGTTTGGAAAATACCAATTATTAGCAACAGAAATTCCAAAAGCTAGGTTTTTTTTTTTGTTTTGCTTTGTCAATCCTGGGGCTTGAACTCTGGGTATGGGCACTGTCCCTGAGCTCCTTTTGTTCATGGCTAGCACTGTATCACTTGAGCCAGAACTCTACTTCCAGATTTTTCTGTGATTACTTAGAGATGAGAGTCTCATGAACATTTCCTGCCTGGGCTGGCCTTGAACTGTGATCCTCAGATCTCAGTCTCCTGAGTAGCTAGGATACAGGTATGAGCCACCAGCATCCAGCTGCCTAAAGTTTTAATGACCATTTTTATCTCTTTAAGGTCAGTCACAGTAGATAAAAAGTGATCATTTTACCAACCTTGAATATCTTGGCTTTGCAAACATTTGTACAACATTTAGATTAAACTCAGATATGCAACTGCACATACCTTTAGTCATATATGTGTGTATGTGTGTGTGTGTGTGTGTGTGTATGATTTGAATTAACTGAATTAAGATAATTTAAAACAATTGTATTTTCATAGTTGTAACATGGTCATTTAAAAGACAGACAAATAGCTAAACTCCAATTTAGTAAGGGTCTAGGGGTGGTTTTGTGGGGGCAGTCCTGGGGCTTGAATTCAGGCCTTTTTTTGCTGAAGGATAACAGTCTATCACTTGAACCATAGCCTTATTTCCAGCCTTTTTTTTTTGGTGGACATAAGAGTTTCCAAATAAGTCAGTCTGGGCTGCTTTCCAACTACAATCCTCAGAGCTCAGCCTCCTAAGTAGCTAGGATTGCAAGTGTGAATTACTAGTGCTTGGCTAAGGTTTAGTTATTTAAGTTTCCTAAAGCCTGATAGGCAAATATCCTGATGAAATACTTCTTTGAACTAATACTATTTTTGAAAAAGTCTTGTTATTATATACCTAGAAAATTATGTTTTTGTTTTGCATCAGTACATTGAATTTTGATCTTATAAACTTTATAAGTAACTTTTAAAATCACAACCAACTTAACACACTTATAAGCAAGTTATTTTATTTTAAATTTATTTTTATGCTGGTCCTGGGGCTTGAACTCAGGTCCTGGGTGTTGTCCCTGAGCTTCTTTTGTTGTACCTAAGCTTCTTTTACCCAAGGCTAGCACTCTACCACTTGAGCCACAGCTCCACTTTTGGATTTTGGGTGGTTAAATGGAAATAAGAATCTCAAACTTTCCTGCCCAAGCTGTCTTTGAACCATGATCCTCTGATCTCAGCCCCCTGAGCAGCTAGGATTACATGCATGAGCCACCATCACTCTGAAAAAAAATTGTTATATAAGTATTTTTAACTCTTTTTAAGTTTACTATGTCTCCAAAACCTTTTTATTTGCGTATTTTCAAGGTCTCCAAATTGAGCACATTTCTCCACTTCTCTTATAGAGGTAAAAGTAGCCAATGCTGGCTAACATGGAAAGATACAGAAAAGTACTTAGAATAAAATTGAGCTCATGCAGGGATTGTGGTAGTTCGTGCCTGTAATCTTAGCTTCTTAGGAGGCAAAGATCTGAGGATCACAGTTTGAATGCCAAACTGGACAGGAAAGTTGGTGAGACTCGTCTCCAATTAACCACCAAAACCCAAATTACAGCTATGGCTCAGAGAGTAGACCTATAGCTTTGAGTGAGGCCCCAAGTTCAAGCTCCAGTACTGACACCAAAACAAAATAAACAAAAAAACGTGAATATAGCAGCTGCAGGAGACCTATTTCATCTTCCCTCCTCTCCATCCAGGGTCAAATAGCTGTGAATATCTAGAGTCTTAAAAGTGTGTTTTATTTTCTGGCTTGATTCAGCAAAGATGAAACTGGATTTTAGAGTTCATACTCAAAGTTCAGGAGTCCCCAGTTAGGACTGGCAACTCCCCCCACATATACCAGATAAAAAGATCTGGTAGCCAGGCACCAGTGGCTCACACCTATAATCCTAGCTACTCAGGATTGTGGCTCAAAGCCAGCCTGGGCAAGAAAGTCCATGGGACTCTTATCTCCAATAAACCACCAGAAAACCGGAAGTGTTGCTGTGGCTCAAGTGGTAGAGCCCTAGCCTTCAGCTGAAGAACTGAGGGACAGCTCCCAGGACCAGAATTTAAGCCCCACAACCGATAAAAAAACAAAAAAGAACCTGGTGGGCTGGGAAGGTGGGTCAGTGGTAGAGTGCTTGCCTTGCATGCATGAGGCCCTGGGTTCGATTCCTCAGCACCACATAAATTTGTTCAACCACTTTGGAAAGCAGTATGGAGGTTCCTCAAAAGACTCTACATAGAGCTCCCCTATGACCCAGCCATCCCACTTTTGGGCATTTACCCAAATGTTCACAAACAAGACCACACTAAA